TTAACTTAAATTGTACATTGTTTTAAACATTCTAAGCTGGATTTCAGAAATATTGCAATACCACTGCTACCTCATTATAAAGTCTTGTAGCCCAGCTGCACACTTGACTGGATTGTTGGTCAAACAAGGCAGCAAAAATTGTATTTTAACAAAATTAAACAACAACCTTTCCAAAACACACTCCGTTATTTCTCAAATCAAGGACTATTATGTGGAGCCTGATACCTGACTGGCTTTAAAAATTATTTGGGGATAAATCCTCTGAACTAAAGAAAAATGCTTCTAAAGACCTTCTAAACAACACTTTTCCCATAAGCTGTGCTCGTTTTTCCTTTGATATGCACAAATTTAGTGCTAATACAGCTTAGAGTCACAAACAGCCTTTTTTCCATAACAGTATCACAGTAACTCACAAACTTAGATCCACGCAATTAGTTCATCACAGTATTGCCTCTTGTAAAGTATGGAAGTGAGTTCAGAAAAAAAACCAGACTATTTTTTTATATAAGGGTACATTTATTACAGCAAAGTAATGGGGAGCCTGGACATTACATTTGAAGCAAAGTTGAGTAACTAAGTTGTAACCCCAGGAGGTAACACTGACCACAAGAACAACCTCTGTCACATGCATCGCTGTCCTTGGCATCCCGTGGATGTAATGGCTTGCCTCAGACAGCCCAGGCACGACTAACCTTGGTGCAGTTTGTTGCTGTTACCTTGTCAGCAGATGTGAGCTGAAGGGACAGTAGCTAAGACATGTCACCACACAGGTTTTGCTGCTATCACAGCACACCTGTGACAAGGGCATTATTCCACAAAAGGAGTTGCCTTCTCTGTGGTTGCATAACCCTCTCTCCCCATAGCCCTGCTGAAGGCTCCCCAGGCCTTACCTGCCTGTGCACCAAGCATCAGCTCTGATACAGCACAGCTGTGCACCCTTGGCCCAGGCTGCTGAGAAAGTGCTGTGGAAAAAGTGTGTAGAAAGTTAAAAGGTGTAAAATTAAAGCCCCTGGTGAGGGAGGCATTCTTAGTAGCTCAAGAATTCATCCATTTGGAAAGGTGTAAAATCTTCAAGGAAAAGAAACAGGGAGGCTAGTTAGTCTAACCCTTCTTCTGCCTGGTGGCTGCCTGGCTAGGAAAGACTCCCCAAGTGCCTCATCAGGGTGGTATTTAGCTTGCTAAATCTAGAATGCCTTTTGTGTGTAGAAACCAATTGTTAGTTCTTTATACTTCTCTTCGCAGAATCTCTTTGTGCCTATGTAAAGATGCCCGAAGAAGCTGGTTCAAAAGAGGGGTACTAACCATAGGCATAGTATAAAACCAAATAAACAAACAAAAAAGACAAACACAGAAGACAGCCTTCATCAACTGACAGCGAAGCCCAAACTTTTCAGCGGCCATGCATTTGATTTCCATGTGAACACCATCACTGTGTGTAGGGGAGGTGTCTGCTGTTGACTCCTAAGGTATTTCACGGATGTTTGCGTGTCAAGCTGTTCGTAGGGAGCATGTGCCATCTATTTTTTTCACCAACATCTACTGGCCTTGGATTGTGTGCAGACCATAAACTGTTCCAAAATATTGTATTTCTTGTGCATTATGAATGTGGCACATACTTCTGATACCCCTGGCAAAGTGGACTTGTGTGTAAAACTGGCCTATTAAAAGTTGGTTCAGGACAGTAACTGCAGCATGACAATATCCAAATGAACTTCTAGCTTAGTACTCTTCAAATACCCCAGAAACAATGAGTCAGCTCAGAGTCTGAATAGCTGCTTAACAGTGCAAAATCATGTAAACATCCTTGCACTCTTTCCTTTTGACATAAAAGGCAAACATTCCAGTGTGTGCCATTTTGCTTGCCACACAAAGTATTGCCAGCATCTAAGTGCAACAGACAAATTTAATTTTTCATCAATAAGAGCTAAATTACACTGAAGGGAGGAAAATAAACCAAAACTTGCTGAGAAGAGGAGAAACCCAAAAGTTCATTACAAGAAACTCTTATTTACTATGAACAGAACTATGTAACATCATGCAACTACTTCAAATAAAGCAATATACACCAAACCAAAGGCATTATTTCTTCTCTACTGAATAAAGCCATGAAAGAAGCAGCTGATCCATAGGATTTTTATCATCTTCAGCACATCTGTAAATGGAATGAAAGGACCCATTAGTTAGCTGAGTGGCACCTTGCTTTTGGTGTAAAATGTGCAGCTTCTTGGTGATTTCTCCGAGAACTCTGCAAAATCCCTGAGGATAAAACATATTCCCTTTGGGCTCAGCAACACTAGTATAGATTTACTTGTGTGGTCCTCCCAGGCAATGCCAGAGCTTGTGCTGTATGCTTGGCATGGACAGTAGTGAGAGGCACTCAGAAGGGTCTCTACATTTCTAGCGCATAGTATGCTCAATTCGGAATTTGTATTAAAACATAAAAGTTTATGAGGTTATTTTCACCATTTAACAATACAGAAAACAACACCATGCTTACAGTATTTCTTTTCCTAAGTTTCTAAAACCTGTCCATCAAAACTGATTTCTGGCAAATTCAAAATATCACACTGGCCCAAATACAATGGCTTTTTCCTTCCAGCAGTTAAAATTTGGAAGAAACACTCCTGTTTGTTTTCTGAATAAGCTTTCTAGCCCTTTTAAAAACCAAACCAAGTGGCTGGTAAAAGTGCAGCAATCTTTGAACATGTGAGCTGGAACAGCAAACAGGTTCCACAGCAGAAATTCCAGGACCCTTTGCAGGAGGAAAACGAAGAGGGGCCTCTGGCATCCTGCATTCTTCCCTTCATACAGCTGCAAGACTCCTTTGTATTTGAGACAATTTAGAATTAATTTAAAAGCTAATTGGTACTTACACACCAGAAAAAAATATTGTCAGCTCAGAGAGGAAAGCTGGAAAAGGGAAAAAGACAATGCGTTTGGATTTAAGGTTCAGCAAGCTTCAACTCTGATGAACAGTGGAGGTAAATCCCACCATCAACATTTAATTCCACTACACAGGTGATTAATCGCTAGTGAGTGGCCATCCTCAATTAAACATGATTTGGGGTCTTTGTTCAAAACAGGTGAGGACACTGGCCTACATAAGCAAACATTTATTTAAGAGAAAAATCTTCAAAACCACTTAATCAGCACAGTAATGCAAGAGCTTAATTAAGCTTACAACTGGTAATGGATTTAGTGTCATCCATTCACAGTTACCTAAGTCTGGCTCACTCCCTCCTTCATGCTGGTGCTTGCAAGTTATTGCTCAGAAAGGTTTGCTTTCTTTATAACCCTTTTCCTTATGGGTCTGATACCCAGGTAGAGCAGCGAGCTAATCTGGAGGGCCACAGTGCTTCATGAGTTCTACAGCTAGCATAGGAGAAGCACTGCCCCTTTTGGCAGCAGCCCTCTTAGTGGAGCCTAAGCCAAAGTCCTTTTTGTGCTAGCGAGTGAGCACTTGGAGCTCGTGACGTAAAATGCTCAAACAGTGGCAAAGTTGATTAAAACCAGGAATTTATTCTAACAGCTTCCTTCAGGACAATTCTTGCTGCCATAATGTATTGTTGTGTAGTAAAAATCCATCAAAATCTCTCTTCTGGGTACGGAAACAGGTTCTGCTAGGATATACCTCCTTATAGGTTGTCTGCAGCCATGCACTTTAGAGCAAGAAAGGGACCATTATTGATATCCTTATCTAAATTCCTACATAACACAGGCCAAAGAGACTCAATTCAACAATTTCTGCATCAGACTTCTGTTCCAAGCCACAGCTAGAGCCGTAACAAGCTCACATGGCAGGATTTCAAACAGGCCCTCTGCTCTCCAATCTCGCAGGCAGCCAAGCTATTTGCTAACAGTTTCACACATTCTCCTGCCTGTGAGAAATGTAGGCCAGCTTACCCCACGCAGAAAGTGTGAAAATGCTTTTAAAAAGCCCAGCTGCTGGCCTCTTTTTCATAGACAAAGAGGGAAAGTGCTTTTAAACACTCCCCTGCCTTCTACCCTGTAAACCCTTCTTTTTCACAAAGGGAACATTCCCCTTTTTGGGGCTAAAACATCACATGGGCCATCTCCCTTGCCCCACCATGTAGTTGCTCTAGCACCACTTTTATACTACCTTCACTAAGGCTCTAGCCAAGCCACAGTGCTGCCTGCAAAAAAACCCCCTAACCAACCACCAAATAAACAAACCCACCCCCCAACTATGTCTGCCTCTAGATCATCAATATTTCAATGTATCTTTAAATATCAACATTACCCTTAACTATTAGATTAAGTAAAAGGCTGGAAATTTAAAGGAGTTACACTTGTTTTTATACAAGTAGTCAACCCAAATTAATTCCAATTATAGAATCATAGAATCATAGAATGGTTTGGGTTGGTTCCAACCCCCCTGCCATGAGCAGGGACATCTCACGCTAAACCATGTCGCCCAAGGCTCTGTCCAGCCTGGCCTTGAACACTGCCAAGGGAGGAGCATTCACAACTTCCTTGGGCAACCCATTCCAGTGCCTCACCACCCTCACTGTGAAGAACTTCTTCCTTATATCTAATCTAAACTTCCCCTGTTTAAGTTTAAATCCATTACCCCTTGTCCTATCACTACAGTCCTTAATGAAGAGTCCCTCCTCAACATCCTTGTAGGCCCCCTTCAGATACTGGAAGGCTGCTATGAGGTCTCCACACAGTCTTCTCTTCTCGACGCTGAACAGCCCCAACTTTCTCAGCCGGTCTTCATATTAGATGAATAAGCAATACTCTGCTACAGCTAAAGTATGAATTCCTCCGAAGTGGGGGATTTCAAATTAGCATGAAATGTATGTAAGGCAAAAATGAAGAAACGAGTTTCATTAGAAACCACAGGTAGATAATATTTCCTTGAAAATGCTTAGATGCACGATTTCCACTATATTGTTCAAAGGTTTCAAACAACAATGCCATCCACACAGAAAATACAATGAGGATTTATTTTGAATTTCGAGATTGCCTATCTGAGACTAAGATGCTGAAGGAATTGAACTTTGTTTCTCATTAGATCCCAATTTTACTTCACATTCTTTGCAAGTATGCTGGCAATGCCTACGGTATTGAAACCAGATAAAACATTAAAGATTTTTGCTGACTTACATCTAATAAAACTACATAGCAAGCAGCAAATATTCTTGAAGAAGTAATCTCTTGCCTATATTCTCCAATTTTTGTAATTGCTTTATGGGATGTAAACTGCAAAAGATGACATCTAAATGTCTCAGCCAATAAAACCCCATTCATTATTAACTACCATTTCCAGCAATCGCCAAAATATAATAGGATTTTCTAAGCAGGAAAAGACAGCCTTTGCCATTGTACCTACCAATAATGCTCAAACAGAGTTAGGAACAAGGTGTGTAATACAAAAGAGTGATGAATAGCCATTTTGTGTAACACCAAGTGAAGAAAGTTAATAGCTTTGTTATGTGGGGAAAGAATGGAAGAAGAGAGATATTATGGAAAGCTTATTCACTGTTCCTAGGTCAGGCATTTCTGTAGGCATAAAAGCTCACATTCTTCTGGTGGAAAGATGTGGAAACACAGAGAAGAACGATTTCCGGGGGCATGCCTCATAGCCCCTGGATTCTTTTCTGCTTCTTGCTTCAGGCCCTGTGATTTTTAATTTCTTCTACCTGCCTTTGCTGTAAGGGGCTGGTGATGCAGGCTGAAGGACTGTCTTACTTGCTCCTGTGGGATACACCCATGTCAGCGGTCTTCAGGGTGGATGCCCTTCACTCTACCCAAAATGTTAACCTCAATGTTACTATTAGTCAAGACCCCCAGAAGGTAAACTCATGGTGCAATGTGTAGAACCAAGCTCATCCACTACATAAATGGAATACAATTCTCTTTTGTGTTAGCCTGCAGATCACAAGCCATCTCTATAAAAAGCTCTCTGTCTTCTCACTTTGGCAGCATTCCTTGTCCCTTTACACCAAAGCTGTATTCATATTGATACATGGTCACTGTGAAAACATTGCCAGCATTTTTCAATAAACCAGCAGTTAGAACTACAATACCTGATTCTGGTGCCCCTGCTCAGGTTGTAGAATGCTTTGCCCTACAAGCAGCCCCACTGAAGAGTCTACTCAAACACATGTGATCATGGTGACAGAATGTAGCCACCAGTCTTTAAATTAATGAATTCTATTTTCAGTTCATGTTCTTTCAAAAGCATGACTGTGGTAATGCATACGTAATGATCAAATCACTGGAACAATGATGGTGATGAGTGAGAGGAATATTGATCTTGAAAAACAGAAAGCATCAGGGAAACTTGCACTTCAGTAGAAATTGTAGAGCCTCAACTTCATAATTTAGGACCTTCACGAATTTTTTACGTTTACCCTTTGAGACTAGTCCCTGGGTGACAAGCATGCTCCCAAGAGACAAAGGAAGAGCTGTGAAAATAAGAAGGAGGAGAGTATCTGGCGCCAGGCAAAATTTGTTACTTGTTAGTTAAATACATTACACTTTTATATGTTGAATATTTTATAAGTTTATAATGTTAAACACATTATTCATCTTCTAAACATTAACTTTGTGTACTTTGTGTACTATCTTAATTACCTATTGTATCTGTTCATTCAGATTACTATCTCTTCAAGCAAGGATGTGTTGCCAGACACCAGGCATGCTGTAGCATCTGGAGCTAATGCCTTTTATATACATATATATATAAAAAAAATAATAGCTTCCATAACCTGAGTATCTCCTCTCAATACTGCAACACTACTAAGAACAGCAGCTCTGATTAAATGCTGAAACCCTTTTCAGTCTTCTTTCAGAAAACGTGTAATTTAGATACAAACTGACATGGTGGTCTTAAAAGGCACTAAAACACCAAATAACTAATTTTTTAGATGTCCTAACACCTAAAGAATTTAACGGAGCCAAGACGCAGAGCCATGCCTGCCTTTCATTCAAAGGCAAGAATAAGTATGTCATAAAGTAAAACCTGCCTAAGGTTGTTTTAGTAACAGACCTCAAGAAGAGAACCAACTCTGTGATTGTTAATGTAAGTTCATATTAAACGAGAGCTTAATTCAACCACCTTTACCTACAATGATTATGCAAATAATTCAGTTAATCCTACAATAACATCTTGCTCAACTTAAAATAAGGTGACAGAGTTAACCCACAGGAATATTTCAACAAAATGCCATGCCATTTATTGTAATCCATGCCATTACAATAAATGGCATGGCATTTTGCAGCCAGTTTTGCAGAAGTACATCAAAAAGTCATTCTCTGTGCGATAAGAACAAGTTTGGATCACTCACCTCTGCACCAGAAACTTTCCTTTTTACATCCTTCACGGGTCCATGCAATTTCTCCAGCACTGTGAATTTGTGAGAAGGGACAATAGAACACTGGCTGAAAGGATAAACCTGAGTTAACTTATTGAATTTAATCTCACAGGAAGAAAAAAAAAATCAATTGAAGAAGACAAATTATTTAAAAACCAAATAAAATACAATGCAAAAACCAACCAAACAAGTAAACCCCTTGTTCTGTTGTTAGCAGTGTGATTAAATACTTGATACCCCAACACAGAAACAGAAAGAACTACATCGGTTTTAAGTTAAAACCACTCATCCTGTTGGTCTGTACATTCCCTAAAATAGCTCAGCTGCTGCTTGCCCCAGAAATATATGGCTTTATTTCTGTTAGCCACTTCATTCTCATGAGATAGATACCTCATCTTTCTGGGAAAGAAATGACAGGAAATAAGGGCAGAGCAGTAGTTTCTAAAAATGAAGTCCTGCCCCATACAGAAGTCAGTTTTGGCTCAATAAGAGCAGATTTTGCCTGTATTCAGAAGAGGGTCAACATAAACTCTGCCCTATTCCCCTAACTAGCTTAACTTTCTCTCTGAGCAGCTTAAATATATAAACTCAACCATACTGCTTCACTCTCATAATAGTCAGCTTGCCAGCAGGCTTCTTTTAGCCTAAATGGCAGCTCTTTTTTTTTTCCATTTTGATAGTGAGAAAGAAGTGGCAGTGTGCTTTCTTGTGTTCCACTATCCAGGGTATTGAGATATTGATAGAAGTAGATTATTCTTGTTTCTTTAAGAAGTGTTAGCACTTGTAGTTTTATTACTGGACATCTGAAATGTACGGTGTACTGTCTTTGGCTGGGAGTTTCTTTTCTCCATAGCAGCAGGTATAGTGCTTGTTTTGGATTTGTGACCAAACCAGTGTTGATAACACAGGGATGTTTTTGTTATCGCTGAGCAGTACTAACACGGAGTCAAGGCCTTTTCTGTTTCTGCCTCACAGGCAAGTGGGCTGGGGATGCACAAGAATTTGGTAGGACACACAGCTGGGACAGCTGACCACGACTGACCCAAGGGATACCCCGTACCATATGATGCTGTGCTCAGCAACAAAAGCTGGGGGAAAGAAGGAATCATCAAGTTAAAATTAATTGAAACTTTAACAATTTCCTCTAAAAATACATCTACAAACATACTTATTTTTGAAAGCAAAACCAGACTTTGTAGAACAAACAGTGCCTTGGGAAAAAGAGCACAGGATTCTACCTCATTTCATGCCTGACTGAGCCATGATTTTGTAACCATAATTAATTAAATGCATTTCTTGGCCTCAGACACACATTTCAGCTTTTAGCTAATAAATATATCAGTCCTTCTTCAAGCACTGCTCTCACTAAAGTTAACGGCAGTGCTGCTCAGCTGAACAATACAGAACTGACTCCACTCCAGACCCTAGAGAACCACTCCAAACTGGTTTCACAGCAAGGTCACAGCAAACACAGTAAAATTCAAACAGGCTGAGTGAAAGAGAAGGAAATGAGTGTCAGAGCCCTAAGTGTACCAACAGGCTTTGCAACCTTTCTGCCCCCATACACACCCTGCCAGGGGTTTAGTTGCTTCAGCTCAAAGTCAGCTCTAATATGGCACAGTCGTGTAGTTCCCAGGTCACCTTTCCTTGCAGATCAGCCCACTTTTGTGCTCTCTGGCAGTGACTGGTTAGCAGCAAGGTCGTATCACGTTTAAGTTCCTTGATTTCTCCAGCAGAGGGGAGGGAATGCCCATCTTCTGTACAGTTGGAGGGCAGGTTCTTGTGGAATACTCTCCCCTTCCCCCTTCACACCTGCATGCACTACTTGATGGGTACAGGTTATACTGGACTAGTACTTACACATGAGAGTTCTGCCAGTTCATAACTAGTTTAACTAGCACAGCATAAATCACAGCCCACTATCTTAAGACTCAAAGGCTCCTAGCTCTCTGAGTGTAGTGAACCAGGAAAAGTAACACATAGCCCTCTCTTCATTTCTGTGCTTAAGGTACAGACATCTGTTTCTTCAGAAGAGTGACCAATGCAAAATCCCAGTTATTCACTAGTAATAGCATCAAAATACGAGGGAGGAAACCCAGCATACCCATCCAATTTGCTTTAGTGGAGATGTCTGACTTTCCTGTTGGGTTGTTTCAGAAGGAATTGTCTCTTTCCTTGTACCCTGCTGCTGATCTTGGTCAGCAGAAATTGTGCGTTTTACGCTTGGCTTCCTCTCTTTCTGCTAGGCACAAAGATAAAAAGCCAAAGCATCATATTGATACCGTAAGTTCAGTGTTCACCTAGAAATAATAATGACCAAGTTGAAAGGAGTGTATTTTTTTCACATCAGATAGCATTCAGTCACCTGAGCATGTACAGTTTACAGCACAGTGTATCACTAGATATACAGTTACCTATAGTCTCATTCAAACGGGAAGTCAGTAAGTACAGTAGATGCTGGATCATGACCTAGCACAGCACTCTCAATCATAAAGAAATGAGACCAAACATGAACAAGTTATCCAAAACTTGCCTAATTTTCATTGTATTGCAGGTCAAAAATTTAGCTTTAGTGTGCTGCCCAGAATCACTGTACTGCTGTTGTCCTCATAGCTGTCACCTGAAATTTGGATTCCACAGGACCCACAGTGCAAGCCTATCAGAAACCATACCTGCATTTCCAACAAACACAACCCAGTTACAAATATCCTTAAAAAACAAAACAAAACAAAAATCTGTAAGAATAAAAAGATTCCCAAGAGTTTTAGAGTCCATGCCTGAGAATTGCGCTGCCAGGGAAAAACAAGAAGGAATTCCATTTATTTCTGGAGTAATTCAAACTTCTAAAGTGTACTTTTTCCCTAGCACTTTGCTGCATGGGCTGGCATTTTATTTATCTACATACAGGGCACTGCTGCTTTTCAAAAAGTACCTTCTGAGAATGGTGGCACTAAACAAGGGTAAAACAACTGCAAAGGACAGAGTTAAACAGGAAACATATGCAACAATTTAATAATCTGAATAGATTTTGGCATTCATAATATTACGGTATGTATCACTTCCTGCACTTATTTTGGGGTCAGTTACACAGCTGTAATGTTCAAGCAATGTCTGCTTCACACACTCTGGATATTCAGACAACAATGTTTTTTTAAGTAAAGGAACAGAAGCAACGTGAGCACCTCTCCCCTTGGCATAAAGAGTCAGTTAAGCATTGTGTTCAAACCAACCTGCACTTTATTCTCAGCCACTCTCAACACTTACAATGAACACTTTATCTTCAAAAAAATAAAGTGAAAATCCACATAATGTTGGGAAAAGCCCACAGCTCTTCACTGCCTGCCTCACCCTCACGAAGTAAGAGCAATTTAATTTTCCATCAGTCTCTTGTCACTTAATGCAAAAAAGACGGGAGAAAATGCATAAAAATTTAAAGAGGTTTACATCAATGACACAAATTTTTCTTATTCTGATCTGCTCACAAAGCCCACCTGTGCAGGCAGTCACTTAAAAATCATCACTGGAAATTACTGACTGATCTGGTTTCTAACTGCTGCAAGGGACTTTAAATGCTTCATGAGGATAAAAAAGCTGAGTCACTGGAGAAAATAACTAGTAAAAAACTAAAATCACGAGTACACATGAGGTTACAACAAGCTGCAGCTTGCCATTAACTTCCTGTATTGTCTTCAGCATACATTTCTCTAGAATTGTAAGCTATTCAGCTATACTTCCACTTCAACATAGTGAAGAATCCCCAAAATAAGCAGCCTTCCGGTAACTCTCCCACTTGAAATGAAAGCTGAAAAGTATCCTGGCAAGAACAAAGCACAGGCAGAGCTGAGGTAGCCAAAATATTATTTAATTAATAATTAATATTAGTACTTAGCACATATTACCTTCTATCTGAGGAATGCAAAAGTGTTCCAGCATTCTGGGGCACTGTGTCTTGGAAAGACAACCGTCATCCCCCAGAATAACATTATTTGCATTGACCTATTGAAGAAATGTAACTTTCTCGCATAACTTTATTGTAACACTTACTGCTGTTTTCTTAACCCAACTATGTAATCATTAGTGTAAGGACAGCATATTCTTTTAGCTGCATTGGGAAGATCTCCTCAAAAATGTTATTCTTCTGATCAACTCAAATACATGCATTACACATGATTAAATCAATCTGGTTTGCAAGAATCAAATACTCAAAAAAACTTCCTATTCTATAAGAACTGTTCTGGATCATTTACAGAAAAAAAAAAAAGTTAATATAAGACTCCTGAAGCTCTCAAAACCCCCATGGTTTTGATTCTTCTAACTGGTTGATAAGCAATATGCAAGAAGATAGTAAGTTTTTTGGATGTGAGAGTTGCCAACTTTGTATACTTCTGTTTTCAATAAGAAGCCTCCTATTTGTATAGGAATGGTTATCATCCCATTTCTAAGATTACTTGCTGGAGAAGGTGGGAGCCAAAACTGCAAGTTAACTGGTGTATGCAATTGGCTGCGATCTACAGTGGAGACACTGTGCATTTGCCCAAGGCAGGTGCCACTGAAGTATGATCACTGAGATAACCCATGAGGACTTCAGAGAGGCCCTTCAAGCACTGAGCGTCCACTGTGAGGAAGAGGGGAAGACTCATTATGATGTTTCACACAGATCTTCTGAACTGGTTCTTTATTTTAAATCCAGGCTCTTATTTCGAAGGAGAGTCAACAGAACAGCTGCACTAAATCTTCGATCGAAAGCTCCCTACCAACAACTGGGTGGACACCACGAAGTGAAGCGGATGAATGCCTCGCTCCTGCCCAGGCGCAGCACCTGCTCAGGCGTCTGCCGACAGTCACTCACCCAGGAACAGGACGCCAACCAAGAACAGGGTATTACTTTTTACTTGCTGCTTGCTCTAAGGCTAAGGATGTGGCTGAGGACAACGCCGGGAAGGCTGCATTTCGTGGGAATAAAGAGTGGTTGCAATCAGCCCAGGGCAGGTGTCCGCTCCAGCCGGCAGTGACCTTCTCTTCTTACCCGGCCACCGGGCCTGTTACACCCAGCCCCGGCTTCCGTGCCCCGGCGTTGGGTGAAGGCCAGCGGGAAAGGGGCAGGGGCGAGGTGTCGGGCGCTGGCGGCAGATTCCCCTTCCG